GTCAGTAGTTCTTGTTTCGTGCGTGCTTTATCTGTGTTGAAGAAAAGATTAAAATGTTTATTATTTTGAAAATTTTTTGATATATATATATATATTGTACGTGGGAAAATTTTTGAAATGTTTTCAAAAAAAATGATTGGTTGGGATGTGATACAAAACCTTTGTCATCGTGATCGGCATTTAATTCGAGAGAAATGATTTTGTAAAAATTAATTATTCATTTCAAAAAGATTAAATGATGAGTTGAATCCATTTATATTTAAACAAAGTTTGATGCTCAACTCGATTAATTAAAGTTTAAGATCCGATACATCTATAAAACTTCGAATATAAAACGGATTTTGCAATTTTTTGCGCGACACTTGTCAAATTTCCATATAATAAAGTAACAAAATTACGCCCTATGGTTTCCAACGAACGCCCTTTGTGCTAAAGATTTACTCAGCTTCCTTCGAAACGGATGATAGTAATGCATCTTCCCCCACTTCCTTTGAAACTGAAAATTACAGCAAGGATACATTATACCTGATTGACCTGATTGTAATTGTGGTTGTGGATGTGGATGTGGTTGGTGAAATAGTTTAATAGCACCCTAACATGCAAAGTATGATGTAAAGAATTAATAATATACCATCTTTATTATTTACTTTTTTTCACGTATATTTTTATCATTTTTTTTTGCTTGCAAGGAATGAAATAAGAAAGTTGCGTTGCATTGTTTATATGTTTTTTTATTAATTAAAAAAGATATGGAATTAGGAAAACGAAATTAAACTAATAAAGCATTAGTTCTGACATATTTATAAAACAAACATTCAGCTCATGCATTAGATCATAATAACAAACTTACCTAAATTTGTAGAGAAAGTTTTTTTTTTTTAAAAAAAAAAAGAAACGCTTTTTTCCTGTAACTTTGGGCTTCGGGGACACGTGCCTACCGACATTTTGAAATAGAAAGAAAATGTCGATCAACAACTCCAAAAAAAAAAAATATGAGTAAAGTAGATAAAAAAAGAAACGTATAAAAAAGCTGGTTTAAATCCTTCATCTTCACGGTATGATATACTATATTTATTGTTTTGCAGCTTGAAATTTTAGTAAAGTCGCCTCAACTGAAAATTTTTTTTCAGATGAATATCAGATGCATTAATGTCCGAAAATGCGCATTTGGGATATACAAGCTAAAAAAAAGTATCAAAAACATTAGAAATATCAAACACGTCAGACATATTATATTTCTCTTAAATTAGTTATATTATTATCTTATTTAATATAGTAAAGTTAGACCTTATAAAACTATCATTAATAAATTTCTTAAAACTTCTTATCTAATATAGGTACTGATTCAAACACTTTATTTATACTAGGTAACGGGGACCGTTTGTAAGTCCGGAGCGGTTTATCAGCATTTTGCCTTTGTGTAGCAGCCGAACTACTTTCTGCTATATTACTATTAAGGTCAGACTCATTTTGAGATTTGTTATTGCGAACCATAATCAAATATAAAAACTATATTTTTTTTTTAAAAGATAAACATGAGATAGATAAAATGATAAATATTAGATCACACTTATGAAGATCATACACACTTTTTAATTTATTTGTTTATTACTTTAATAATCAATTGCCCGTGTCAATATCCGGGTATATTACCCGCGCTTTTATCCATTTTTAATTTTATAACCCGGATATCCGGGTATATCCGAATTGTATCCAAGTAAACAGGTAACGGGTCGCAGCTCTAAATTTCACAAATACTGTAATACTTACCAACCAATGATTATTATGAACCTAAAATTTGAAGCCTCTAGTAATACTATACCGAATCCATTAAACGTGAGCATTTTAATTTTATTTTTTAGATTTTTTTAATAACGCGGTTTTTAAAATTTTGTGTTATACGTGTGTTCTGTGTTTTTAAATAGGCGATTAAATTTTATTCAAAGCATTTCAAATTTATATTGGTTATTTTTTATTTTTCAATTTTCGATTTGAAAAATGATCATCAAAAATTGCTACAATATATCCGAATGTTCGTTCTTCTATCTGGATTCCCCTTCCGACCTATCACATGTTACGGGAAAAGCGTGACAACCACAATTGTGAAAACTTTAGTGGACGATTATGAGAAAATCTATTGTCTTTAAATTAATTGATACTCGGTAAAGAATTAAGACAAGCATTTTCAAAAAGTAAAAATCAACCTTTTGTTGGACGATCCATTATCATGTTCAGATAGTTTCCACCCGTAATCGACTCATCTCGCGACACAATCTAAAAGATGCAAAAATGTAAGCAAGACTGAGTAGGATCGAAATTTTCTATCTCACATGTTTATAAATAAAACTAAGTATAAATGTAGAAATTGGCTTCGTCGTTGTTATCATTCCCAGTATTAGATTCATATAAATCCAGTCCAAGTGATAGAAAATGTTACCTAAAATATCGCATGACATTTGTCAATGTCCTTAACGTGACAAAACATTCTAATGCAAGTTTAATCTTTTGAATATATCTTTCACTTTATCAACATTTACTATTTGCTTATTTGCTTATCATTGCTTCGTATTAATTAATTATAGATGAAACTGTTTCTCAAAATAATTTTTATATTTAAATTTAAAAGTTCGTGGTAATGGAAATTTTAATAAATTTGACAATTGACGTAGATCAATTTTGACAATTAATGCAGCTTAAATTAATCTATCTAAAAATAATTTGACCAAATTGCAAACATAATTAAACGACAAAGATATTTCCAAAAAGTACGTTGGTTTGAAATTATAGCTAATTCGAATATGGATTGGATCGAAATCATCGAAATTTGATCTTCAAATATTGTTTCGGATAAAGTCATATCCTTTCGCCGATCAGTCGAATGTTCAACATTTTTGATTTGTTCCTTCTTTTCTATTGCAGCAAGTATTTAAGTGATTTTGGTTACACAGTAAATTACGGGACACCCAGAAATTTTTGTTGCAGAGTACTTTCGGGTTATCGGGTTGTCGTTATAATCATAAACAGGGTGATGGCCAAATGATAATCTGTGAAAAACAAAAATTATGTATGGCGACCGGCATAAAAATTGCCGAATGTCTGTGAAGTAATTATTGAAATCCAGTAACATCCGCTTTTGATACAATTAATAAGTTATGATAAGCTTACGACATGCCTGTTTCAAGATGAAACATCTCCAATTAATGAATATAAACAAGTAAGTAAACGCGGATATTGCCGATCTATCGATTTCTTAAATATAAAAAGGGCGCGTCAAAAAGTAAAAAAAAAAAAAAAAATCTTAAGAAATTAAATTTCAAACCAAAATAAAAAAAAAATTTAAATTCAAAAAACATATTATCAAACAAAAACTTAATAACAATGCATTCAAAATTACTTGCCCTCTTAATGATTATTACATTGTTTTGCGCTTATATGACATCTGTCAACGCACAGAGTTGTCCGGATCCAGCTCCATTTTGCGACGGTATTTGTTATTCTATTATTTAAAAAAGTATTCTTGTAACTTTATATTACATAAACTTACTTAAATTTATTGTAGGGACGGAGGTATGCATCTTTAATGAAAATATCAAGTCCTGCTCATGTAGCTGTTGCGACGATACCGGACGAAATTGCAAACAGAATTTTCCATAGTGTATTTTGTGAATTTCAAATATTTTTATTCTTTTAAAAAGATATCTTTTAGTATAAATATTTGTTTTAGATAATTAATTTATTTAGTTTCAATAATATAAAGATTGAATATTATATCATTTATCTAATCAACAATAAAATTCTTTAGTTCATAAGTTAACTGTGTAACGATAGAAATGATCATTATACTTTGTGTAACAATGCCCGAATGCGTAAAAAGATTTTCCTGAATCAAAAAAAAAAAAAAAATAAGCGACTTATTATGCAAATTGTCCTCAATTTCAGGTTGCATCCAATGAAAGAGTTATTACAGCTGTAACAATCTAGAACAATCATAAAACAATATTATATTTCGATTTACTAACTTAAAAAATTTTTAAAATGACGATAAAAAAAAACTCGTTCTGCTTACCCTCCCGACCGTCAAAAATGGCCAATAAAAAAATAATCGCAGAAGCAATCACAACGAAGCCAGAGGCCGCTCGGTTCTCTCAGCTTCACTAAATATTCACGGACAATAACCTCCAGCAAAGAAACACAACTTCGGTTAAAAAAGTTACTGAAACTTCCTCCAACGAATGGAAATAGAAGTAACCTCCGCTCCTATTGATAAAGGAAAAGCTCCAGAAACGGCTGCTTCCTCCAGCAAAGCTCCACTTGAATCATAAAAAAAAAAACCAAATACTGGATATTAAATTAACCAGTAATAAAAATAAGTATAATGATACTAAGTTTTATTGATGAAGTTTTCAACGCAATAGATTCCCCGGCATGAGTCAAATGTAATTTAATTACAGCAAATTATATAACTATTTTTTATTGAATATTTGAAAATAATTTGTCTCTTATATTCGTGAATTTTTTTATTGCATTTAATTCAAATTATTAATTAATTAATTTCTCAGAAGATTGAGAAAACTGTTATTATTAAACATTATTTAAAATTTCATAATATTGAAACGAAGTTTAAATTCAACTGATTGTACCTCATTTATAATTATATATACTCCTTCTTTTTCTTGCACATTGATAATTTAATCAATCAATTAATTCAAATATTACTCAATCTAAAGTTGGAATTTTTTTTTTTTTTTTTTTTTTTGAATTGATTGTAACATTTTCAATTTTCTTTTTAGCAAAATTCACAATTTATTTTGTATTTTCATAAAATAAATGAGACCATACCATATTATATTTATCCAATTTTTATGAATTAGGGATGTTAAAATTCAGTCTGGTCCTAGTCCGGTCCGAAACTCCCAGTCCTAAAGAAGACCCGGTCTCGAGACTGCAGTCCTATAAAAATTAGGACTTGCGGTCCTAGACTCGGTCCTATAGAAGTTAGGACTCGCGGTCCTTGGACTGCGGTCCTATAGAAAAATAATCGTTCAAGAAGAACGATAAGTTATCGTTCGACTTGAACGATAAAAGAAATAATTCAAGAAGTACGATGACAAATCGTTCGACTTGAACGATTATTTTTCTATAGGACCGCAATCCTAGGACCGCAACTCCTAATTTCTATAGAACCGCAGTCCTATAGTTCAAAGGACTTTGAACTGGACCGGACTGTTTAGGACCTGGTCCCATGTGGACTTTTTAATATCCCTATTATGAATGAATGAAAAATCTTTCGATCTTTTTATTATTTGATTTCCGACGACGACCTAAGAAATATTTATGCGACAATCAATTTAACACGATTCTATTGTGTAGTTGATTATTACAGTCAAGACACGATAAAGGTTTGAAAAAGGGTAAAGATGGAATTTTTATTAACTTATACGATTTCGGAAGTTTCTTTTCCGTATAGACACATGGGCGGCAGTCAATAGAAAGGGGGAAATCTAAATTTTGATAAATTTTTTTTTAATTGATCCACTTGACTGATCATTCATGTGCAAAAATTTCAGATTTCCCCTTTTTTTACTGACGCCTTCCCATATAATAGACAACATGTTTGAAGAGATCTTCTTAAAGCTATCGAACCGTTTAACATTTAAAACTTATCAGAAATGATTTTGAGAAAAAAAGTTAGCATTGTCGCACAGCTGTACTGTAAAAGTGGCGAAAAAAGCATATAAAATTTTGTCGATCAACTGATCGACATCTATATAACCGTCATTTGCTATGATCGACATACAGTACATACAACATCCGACCGAAATTCATTTCCGGTCCAGAATTAAAATTTTTATGATTGCAAATTATTATCTAACTCTGGCCAAATTTATAGTACTGGCCAAAGTTTAATTTTAACCGGTTCCAACCTCTAGCACTATGGGCTTTAATTATTAAAGATATCGTTTAAAAAATGTCGAAAAATTCAAATATTTTAACTGCACATTGGCATTTCGACAAAGGTGACAAAATTTCTTTAAAGTTTTACTTTCACCCAGATAAAACATTGATGAATCGTATAATAAAAACCCTCCAATTGTAATCCAACCTCGAGTAGTCCGCAAGTTGATAGTGCCAAAAAACTACAATATATGGGAGCTCGTCAGTAAAAAAGGAGGAAATCTAAGATTTTCATTAGTTTTAGTTCCTAAGCTAATTTTAAGCACATGACTGTGTGATCAGTCAAGTGGACCAATAAAAAAATTATATCAAAATTTAGATTTCTTCCTTTTCTATTGACTAGCCTCCATATGATGGTAAACTTTTACAACGTACAGAGAGGAGCCAAAATTCCGAAAGGGATTATTATGGATTCAGAATTTTTTGAAAAATCTTCAGACTATGAATATGATGATCTTTACACATGATTGAAATTAGAGTTTCCTTTTGAAAATAGAATATTCGAATATTTGTATGTAAATAAATAAAATTCAAATATTCGAAAATACATGATTAATATTCGAATATTTGAAATCAATTTCGAAAATCAATTCGGATATCATTTCGATATCAATCATTTCGATCGATCATATCGATCGATTATTTATAACTAAAGCTTGCCTAATCGAAAAATTTAAAAATATCGAAAAAAACCAAAAAAACAAAAAAAGGAAAATGCTGAAAAAAAAAATATATATATATACAATATCGGATATCCGAAATGATTTGGTATCCGAATTGATTTTCGATATTCGAAATTATTTTTAAAAACTTTCAAATATTTGAAATGCAATTTGTAATTCAAACGGAAACCCTAATTGAAATTTCAACTACTATTTTTAGGGATCTTCAGAATATTAGGCCATCTTTGATTTCAACCGTTTGAAATTTTTTAAATTCTATTTTTTGATTCATTTTGTCTAAACTTACGAAATAAAATAAGCAATGGGGTTGGGGTGTAATGGATCTTCTCAAGCCTCCCTAATTATCCTCCCTAATTATTAAGAAAATTTTCACAGGACTGCCAAACATTTTGACAATTGTTCAAAAAAAATAAAAAAGCATACATTCTCGCAATATTCTGGGTGATTATATAAAATTCTAAATAATCAAATAAAAATCAAATAAAAATAAAATTATAGAGGAAATAGTGTTGTATTCAGTTCTTTCGCTTATGTATTTATAACAGTTTATATTTGTAAGCAGAAGGATTTAATTTAAAAAAATTAAGTAATTGTGACGATAAATTTATTTAATAAACAGTGTTTCCTCAACGACAGCTTCGCAATATCAATATATTAAATTAAATAAATGCTAATTACTAATAATACTAACTAATTAAGACTACGCAAATACAAAAATATAAAATAAAAATAGAAATAGGGATTTAAAAATAAATGAATTTACAATGTTAAAAGCGATAATATCGCAAAGGAAGAAAGGAAGGGATTAAGATGTATGTATGCAATGTAAGAAGGTGGACCGTGGTATGTTGAGTTGTTAAGGATTTCCAACTCACATATACTTTATAAAAAAAAAAAATAATAATAATCAGTAGACTATTCAAAAATGATCTACAAATACTAGCTATAATTATCGAAAATTTACAAGCGGAATTATATTAAATGTAACAATAGCATCATTAGCTGTCAACTAAAGCAGTTGCGCATCCTAGAACTACACTAAGGTTATCTACAACACTAACTACAATGGAGTATGGATCAGGTAGTCGGTATGGTGCCAAAAAATCCGATATAAAGCTATTAAATTCAGTTCTAGCTTTAATTGGACACCCTTTTCCGGAACAAATGAAACTACTATTTATTTCGCCTACGTATTTGTTAGTTTTAGGATCAGCAAAATGAGCAATAAGTTGGGTTGAATCAGTGATATCTGCAAATAAAGTTCCGGAAACCACAAGAACATTGGTTTGTCCGAGAGAGATAGTTTCATTAGCAATTTCTACGGAGATTAGGGGTGGTGATGGATAGTTCTCTCTAGGAGGGGGACATGGACCAAATGGAATTGACCTTTTTTGAAGTCGAAGTGGAATCGCATTGACCATTGAAAGCGTAGCCAATAAAATGAATACAAGGATAAAATTCAAATCTCGTTTCATGATTATTATTTCTTTGGCAATATTTTTTTTATATTAATTGGGAGTTTTCTTCGTGAATGTAGTTATTAATTTCTTGAATTCAGAGTTAATTGAAAGCAGAGTCTTTTTATAAGGAAAAAAATAGGTCCTAACTCCAAATATACAATTATTAATAATACATAAATTTGTTATAGATATACAAACAAAATTACATGTATATTAACATGTATGGAGTCACCCTTTTAAAGATTTTCAATTTAATCTTATGATTTTTGTTATTTAACAAAGATCAAATCTAATGCGGATCATTAATTATAGATTTTCACACCACGTGACCAAACTTTACCGATCATTTCTAAAAATGGTAATCCAAATTTTTTAATGAAAATTTTTTTTTAATAAAACTTACCATAGACGTTATCTAATCTCGAAACTAAGCATTTTCATCTAATTTTTTTTTACGCTCTACATGTTTACTTAGAATCAAAAAGGGGTTTAGAATGCCAATTTTTGTTAAATCAATCATATAGAAACGGTCATATAAAAGTCAAAATCTGTATATGTAAACTTGTAGTTTTTATTGCCTCTTTATTTTTAGGAAAGTTCGGATAATTTTTGGTCACGTGGGGGTGAGAATTTGTTGGTGTGCTTTGCAAAGCCGGATTCGATCGAATCGCAAAAATAGACGGAATTTTTTCTGTATGTTATCTCTTATTTGTCACAAATTATATGTCACCGGGACTATCACCTTAATGCCGTAATTATGGCCAAATTATCGTGATCGAACCCGGCTTTAGCCACCCCTCCCTTCTTCGGAAAGAAGTGTGGTATGTATTTTTTTTTTTAATATTTTTATTTCATTTTGGATCGCAGCGATCGAATAAATTTCCGCCCTTTTGATTGGTTATATTTTCTGTTGGATGGCAGTTTTGATTTTTTGATTTTTATCTTTATTTTTGTCCAAATAAGTAATTAGCAATGTAATGACAACGGATGATAGTGGATCCTCCCTAGTTACAAAAATAAAATTTTCAGATCGGTCAATATATTATTAGTCCGGAGTGTAACGAAGGACTATATACTTCTATGCAAGGTAGTCACAAAATATGGTCACGTGACGATGTCCGGTTGTCCGCACGCGTGATTTTTGATTGGTTGATTTTGTATCCGCATATTTATATGAAATAAAAAAAGCTCCGGACTTTACAACGGTTTCCGTTTCCTAGTTGTAACTATTTCGCCATATATAAATGCAGATGGTTTTTGTTCCAGTTGTCCTACAACGGCGGCGCCGGTGATATGGGACCCTTTGCAATAGGAAAGGGGGAAAAGGCTGAAAAAAATAAAAAATTGAAATAATGCTAAATCTGAACATATTTTGACCTAAAAATTATATTTAGCATATAAAGTAAAATTGACTTACCGGCAGTTTCTCCCTTTTTCTATTTCAAAGGTCCCATATTTATATATTTTATTCACTTTTTTTTGAACGATGAAATTGCTACTTTGTCATTTATAAATTAAAAACGTCTTACTAAGAATCATCAAGCGTTACGATAAATTGAAGTTATCTTTCTTACTCAGAATAGCTACATATGTGTTAGCGAATGAATTCTATCGATAAATTCTATAAATAACAAATTAATGTTTCAACACCGATGGTAATGATATACATCAGATGTTTCTACAATACCAACTACAATGGCGTATAGAATATTCGCTTTTGTAGTAAATATAGATTTAGCCTTTATTAGACTAGCTCCAGAATTAACCGACCCAGCATATATTGTTAAAAGCAATAAGTTGGGTTTTATTTTTACATATTAGAAGTATTTGAACGACAGGATCAGAAGAAAATATTACACGATTACGGTTGGTGGTGTAGTGAACCTTTTAGCACGAGAGACATGGACCGAAAGAAGTAGTTCTTTATTGAAGTTTATAAATTGCATTGACAATGGAAAGAGTAACGAATATCATGATTATTATTTCTTTGCAAAAGGTATATAATTGAGAAATTTCATTGTGAATACAATTATCAAGTTCTCGAATTCAGAGTAAATTGAAATACAAGCCTTTTTTATAGTGTGTTTCTAATCACAATTTGTACTTCAAACAATTGATTCTTAAATTATGGATATTCATATTTTCAAAAAAATGATTTTCGATATAATGTTTTAACATTACTTTCGAATATTATATTTAAACTCCAACAGTAATCTTGATTATAAATATTTTATTTTTGAAGAAAATACCTATTGTGATTTATAATAATGTGGCACAGGTTGTATAAGTAATAAAAAAAGAATTTTATTATATCAATTTATTTTACTCTACAAAATAAAAAACTGAAATTAGTTATGATATATTATTTTTTTTTTAAAAAAAAAAAAATAATAATAATAAAATTTAAACTAAATTAAACTTTGAGCGTTAAGTAAAATTATACAAATAGAAATCATCATGCAAATGAACTACTCCAGCATCACCAACAAATTTTCTCTCAGGTGATTTTTTGCTAGTATTAAGTGTGGCGTCGCAAAATTAAGTGTGGAATACATGTAGGATTTTACTTACATGAGCGCAAAATTTTGTTGGAGGTAAATTTATCCTGTTCTGGAGGTATAGGCTCTTATCCTATTCCGTAACTGTTTTATCACGTGATATTTACTTAAAAAATTTATACATGGGGTATTGTTAGTGATGCTGGGGAAGATCATGCACATGTTAAATATCAGGTGATGCTCTTTTTTACTGTCCCCTGATGCAGTCTAAATTGAGATAGTTATATGGAAAAAAATATCAATTTGTTTTTGCGGTACGATCTGCATCGGTTACCCAGAATTTTATAAATTCTATTGTCTTAATTTAGTAAATATTTTTTTAAAAAAATTATCATTTTAAATTTTATCTTTTATTATTTTCCATCAATTATTGATGAACCAACAAACTAATTTGTGTAATTTATATCTTTATTCGCTTTATATAACGAAAAAATAATATTGAAATTATACTCACCTAATCTAAATCTGGTTAAAAGGTTTAAAAAAATTGCTCTCTAACTACTATTAGCTTAGAAACGATTAAGACTGCAATGTATAAGATGATTTTCTTTCTTTCTTTCTTTAGTTTTTCGCGTGCGGTAAAACTTTTATTTATTTTTTTTTTTTAGGTGTGTTGGTCGCAGAAATTATTTGTTCATCTATTTTTTAATTTTTTTTTTACTTTTAATTTTGGATCGTAACGATCGAATATATTTCCAACCTTTATATTTGATTATATTTATTCTTCCTTAGGCTTTTGGTTTGTATTATTATTATATTAGTAAGGCGTTTAAATTTTTTTAACTCTATTTTTTGATTCATTATACGAAATAAATAACCAATGGGTGGTAATGGATCTCCCTAATTATCTCCCCTAACAATAAGGAAGATTTTCACAGGACTGTCAAACATTTTGACGATTGTTCTAAAAAAAGAAAGCATACATTTTCGCTATATTCTCGTTATTTTTTATCTATTTTTTTTGAACCTTTACAAGCTGTACTGATAAGGTGAAGACGACAATATATTAAAAGCATCTTGCTTCGAATAATGATATATGATAAATTAATTCTATTGATAATTCTATTAACTCGAATAAAATGATATATATAAAATTCTAAATAATCAAATAAAAATCAAATAAAAATAAAATTATAGAGGAATAGTGTTGTATTCAATTCTTTCGTTTATGGATTTATAACAGTTTAGCTTTGTAAGCAGAAGATTTAATTTAAAAAAATTAAGTAATTGTGACGATAAATTTATTTAATAAACAGTGTTGCCTCAACATCGGCTTCGCAATATCAACATATTAAATTAAATAAATGTTGATTACTAATAATACTAATTAATTAAGACTACGCAAATACAAAAATATAAAATAAAAATAGAAATAGGGATTTAAAAATAAATGAATTTACAATGT